TTCAGCATGGGGGTGAGTAGAAAATGAAGGCTAATCATGTTTTGGGTGTACTATTCCTTTAAAAAACATGATCTGTCGTCGTGTTAATGTCGGATCAATAAAAATTGTACAAATACTGACCCTTTTTGTCATAAATAAAAATCAAATCCTATTTAGCAATGGGAAAAACTAAAAATAAGTAGGGCTATCAGTTTAACGTGTTAAATCTATTGATTAATTAGTTACACAGCAAATGAATGTGTTTTTTAAAGAATTGCAATTAATTGAGAGTGTCAATTCAATGCATTGTAAATTTGGGCCACTGAATGACCCGGACAGTGGGGGCCGCTAATGCACCTACAGCTGTTTGCAAACCACCAACCCCAGGAAAAGAAGACACATCACCATTTCCAACCTGTATGTACCTGGTCAAAGTGCGGTATGGGTATAATAGAGGGAGCAAAGCATTGCTAGGGCCTTTGAATGACAAACTTTAAAGAGAATCAACTGCAGCAAGGTAATCTTTAATTATGTCAGGGGAAAATCTGTGGCTACAGCTTGTTAGGATAATTATCATTGAAGATGTGTGAGTTTATTACACCTTAGTATTGTCTGCCTGTTGTGTGTCAGAACTGATTAGGACAGTTCCTCTGTCTGGATATAGTTATATTCTTCATTTTGCACATGAAAAAGATTTGGGAATGGAATGAGAGCAGTGTCCTTCAGCTAAGAACGAAGTGTAATATTTTGATAAGGCTGGACCCATGGATGTCTAATCATCTGCTAACGTGTATGATGTAAAATATGATGATGTGGCAGACTGGAGATGTATAAAATGCCTTTTTAGCTGTTAATCGGGGCCACTTCCTGAGAGGTGAGCCCAGAGGTGAGCAGCTGCCTTCTGTAAACTCTAAGCAACTTCTCTGATCTGAGTAAGATTACAGTTTCTATCAGTTGTATCTGTTGTCATGTCTCCTGGCTATTTAATACATATAAGTTATGAAGTGTTATTTAAAGAGTTTTTCCCGAGTGATCTCTTTTCGGGGAAAATAACCGGAGAGATAGAGCATTAAGGTGCATACAAAGATCCTATCTTTAACAAGCAGTTGGTGTTTCCGTGAGCACACTTCACCACCCCATGCTTCACGAATGAGGTAAACGAAATAAATTGAGGCAGAAGTAGGTTCATCAAAGAGAAACTGGGCAGAGTTAGGAAGCTAAATTAAAAGAGTAATCCAGCCAGTGGGCTGTGCAGTGGATAGCACTGCTGCCAAGAAGGTTCTGGGTTCGATTCCCGGCCTGGGGTCTTTCTGCATGGAGTTTGCATGTTCTCCCTGAGCATGCGTGGGTTCTCTCTGGATACCCCGGCTTCCTCCCACAGTCCAAAAACATGACTGTTAGGTTAATTGGCTTCTCTAAAGTCCCCATAGGTCTGAGTGTGTGTGTGAATGGTTTTTTGTCTCTGTGTTGCCCTGCGATCGAATGGCGACCTGTCCAGGGTGGGCCCCGCCTCTCGCCCGTAGACAGCTGGAGATAGGTACCAGCACCCCTTGCGACCCAACTAAGCATGTTAGAAAATGGATGGGATGGATGGAGCCAGTCATCAGTGTCAAGATCATGACACACACTGCAAGTCCAAAAAACCACAGGTCAGACTCAGCTAGTTTCACCTCTAAATATGGATCTTGGTGAAAAAGTTCAATAGTCAAACCCTCACCACACCATAGAGGCTTTCTCTCGCTGCTGTAATTGTAATGTTTTTTTCTTATCTTTACATACATTTAATAGGCCTACATACCTAAATTGTGTGTGTGAAGAACGCTGATAAGATGCAAAATAACCAGTAGCCAATTAAAAATGCTACCCTTTAAGGTTTATATTTTGCAAATCTGACTCTAAAGGAGTCAGCGCCTCTCCAACGATGAACCTCACCGCAAGTCACTGGTCTCAAACTATATACGCCGAAGTAATTTCTTGGGATTTTAAAAGAATAGAGCAACTCATTGCAGTGCATGACTCTGAAGTCAAAACAAAACAATTTCATTTTATAAAAATAAATTGGGAAAGCAGTTAGTACATTAGTACTGGGACTCTTAAATAAAGTAAAAAGTCACCTTATACAGTAGGTAAAAGAGAAATTTTCCTGAGGGTGTTTATTTCTCTGCAAACAATCAGGGATAGAAACAATAATCGACTTCTGATTATTTGTTGAATAATTGTTCATTAGATAAATTCTGATTAAGGGATATTGTACGCTGTGCTGTAATGTGGTCGCCATGAACAAGAGGGCTCTGCTGTTTCTCGTGAAGCAGGGGTCTTTAAGGGTTTCCAGGCTAAGGACCCCCAAACTGATGGCGAGATGGACCCCCTAATTATATATACTGTGAGAAATTATGTTATATCAAACTGGTCCTATAGACACTCTATTACAGATGTAATCATGTAACGAAAGTAATTTCTCCCTGGAATGATTCAGATTCCTCGTTTATGGGACAGGTGTTGTGAATGAAACGGTGCCCAGCTTGAAAGAGCTCCTGTGTGTCGCTGAACATGTGCATTGATGGCTGAAAGACATCTTCTGCCTCCATTTATCTGTTTACTACAGTGTGTTGAATTCATATTAATGTGTATTGAAGACATTTCAATTAGTGGGGGAAAAAAAGTCTAATCAACCAAAACTTTCGCGGGCCCCACGCAGTACCTCGGTGGACCCCCTGTTGAAGACCTCCGTCGTAAAGTGAAGCCAGACGGTTGAAATGATGTAAACAGATTCCAGATCCGGACTATTTTCCATTGTTAATGATGAAAAAGGTGCGGAATGCACTAAAAAAAAAACAAAAAGCCCTAATTCAGCCATGCTACATGGCAAAGACGGTTCATCTTTGAAACAAAAAAGGAAAGTTAAAAAAACGCATAATACCAAAAAGCAAGGTAGATTGTTAGAGCTTTGGTGAGTTAATGCACTTTGTGGAGCCGAGTTTTAATATTCCTAAAGGAGCAAACATAAGCAACCATTTAGAAGCACAACTAAACACACAAAGTCTCACTTTCATCACTGACTGTTTGATTACAGAGAAAATGTTTCACAGTAAGCAGCTATAGCCAGTAAAGTCTGACAGTATGTCAGAGTGACATACCCTTTCTTTAAAAGATAAATTGATGTCTGTGTTTTTGGTAAATGATAAAAGTTTTCCATACTTTATTATATTAATCTGGCTGTATGTTTCTAGCATTTGTCCTATACTCTGTTTACTCCCTATATGAACTTTCAGGCAGATAACCTTGACTTTTCATTAAAAAATCTGCTGCCCTAGCAAACTTTTACTCATTTAGAGATGGTAGAATGACCAGTTAAATTAATTTAAAAAAAAGAAGAAAAAATTTTATAAAAAATAATAATATAAGTTTAAAAAAATATATATAATTACTTTACTTTGTAAATAAATATGAAATATATATAAAAATGAATATATATTTTTAGGAGAGAGGGTTCCATTCTGGTTAATTTTAGGGTCACAGAATACTAGAAGTTCCATTAGGTTCCGGGACATGAGGGGCAGAATAAATAACATCTCAGTCTGATACTGTTCTCGTTCTCAAAGGTCGGATTTGTGGCGTATGCGACTAAAGGCTGATTTATACTCATAAACCAGGTCGTCTGTGTGTGAACGCAAATGTGCCCCTAGACGCTCTGCTGCACCTGTCCGAAATTTAGGTAACGGCAGACAGTTCCACAGACAGAAGGCCTCTGATTGGTCAAGTCTACATCCACTCTACACTATGTGTATTTCATGTTTGGTACCTTGTCTTGCCTTTATGACCGCCATTGTGAAAAACGAATCGTTAAGTTGGACCAGCTAGAAGGTGCGCGAGAAAGCTGGGAGCCTTTTTCCACCTGGATCCCCGCTCTTTTTTGCCCTCATGTCCCACCGTTGTCGCACAATCTTGCCCCCATTTTCTCACCGCCTCGGCCGTATCTAGACCCACGGCTAGTTCGTGACTGTCCCTTTATGTGGCGTGGAATAACTTAGTGCAGACCACGCTTCAATATTGGGCATAAATCAAAAATATCTGCGACAAGCACACTGCATCTGCAGCAGTAAAACCAGGCCTTAATACATTTCTACCTGATCTGCAGATGTCATGTGTTTCATGTAGACAGCCATGTCTCAGTTGGTCTAGTTGTACAATGCTGACTTGCATTTGTAGGAAAAACTGTCTATCGCTCAAAATTTCAGCAAAACACACTTTAGTTTGCATTTCGGTGTTAAAAACTTCCCCAATGTCTTAGCATTTAAGCATCCTCGGCTGGTTTCTCGGACGGATCAACATTAACAGGGGTTTGAAGCTTCACAATCCAACCGAAGGCTTAAAGTTCAGCTTTTCAATCTATGCAGCATTCCTATTGCTGTCCCCTCCCTGCACTCCCCTGTGGAAACATCAATATTTTAATGTTTTCAGTTTCGATCCAAGTACAACTTCAGAAAGGATTGGTTATTAGTTTTTTTTTTCTTCTTTTTTTTTTCACAAGCAACTTGTTTTCTAATGCATGACCATTTAAAATCATGGTGTGTTATCTGTGTGTGTGGGGAGGGCTGTTGTGTCAGGAAAGGCTAGAGGTCCAGCTGTTTTTGGAGCACAGCTGAGATGAGCTGGGTCTCAAAACACATAAAACTATGTGTAAGATGCACCTACATCATAGATGCATATAAATATATAGAAATAATGCCAGTTTTAAGCCGTTAAGATGCATTTTTCTTTCAAATCAATCCTATTCAGGAGTTATTACGCAGTAATAACCAGGAGGGTTGGTTATTTTACCTTAACATAGCCTTCATGACAGTGCAGTCTGTCTCCAGGCTGCAGTCTAGACAGTGTCATTAAAAATTGATTGAGGTTTTCAGTGAACCGACTGACCGCTGGTGTGCTCCCGCTGCTCCGGGCTGGAAGTGACCGTCTCCGTGTCCACTTTGCGCCGGCACTGGCCCTGGCCCTGCACCAGTTGCTCCAAGGGAAGCTCCGAGTCGGGGGTCGGGTAGCAGCGCAGACCGGTGGAGCACCTCGGGGTGTAGACGCCGCACGCCTCGCCCTCCTGCCGGGCGCACACGGGGCAGCACCCGCAGCCAGGCTCGCGCACCATCTCCGCGCACGGCTCGGCGAGCTGCGGGCAGAGCGCCTGGCGCTCCGCGGTGCAGCCCGGGCAGCGGAACACCATCTCGGACAGGGAGGCGCCGGAGAAGGGCGAGGAGAGGAGGAGAAGCAGGCTGCAGGCGGCGGACCACAGCATGGTTGGAGAGGTGTGGGCTTTGGTCACTGTCACTGGGCTGATCGAAGGCAATCCGGAGTAGGGGGGGAGAAAGGGGGCATGAAATGTGTCTGTGAACAGGTGAAAGCGGGGGAGGAGAGGGCTGCTGGGTCCTACAAATTCCCAGGTTTGGGATGTGGCCACAAAGGATGTGAAGCTACACCGCTGGAAATACATTGAGTATGGAGTGAGTTTTATTCCAATATTGTTGCAAGCAAAAAATTCTAATTTCAAAACAATGCTTACAGAGTGGCGGAAACGGGCTTCCATACTCCAGGAATAAAAATTTAAAAAGTTTTAAGAGTAACTCTGCTGTCTCTTTGTAGGTCTGTCTCTGCCACTTGAAAGTAAAATTTAAAAAAGGTTCATAATTATGAGATTAAAACTCATAATTCCAACTTTCAAAGTCATAACGTACATCAAAAATAATAATTATGAGATTGAAAGTCATCCTTATTTGATGTTTAATAGCTTTTTTTTTTACTTTCAAGTGTTGGAATTGAACTTCCATAGTTTCCTCAGATTATTAGAAGTAAAACATATTCTATATATTTTGTTACTTTTTATATTTTTAATTTTTTTTTATGGCAGAATTTTATTATTCCTCATTTTAGGTTGAGTTTTACCAATTTTATCCGTCTCAAATTGCGTTTAACAGATTATATTCTCTTCACTTCTGGAGGCGGAGTTCCTGCTGGAGTGAGGAGAAAAGATGCATTTCTAAGTAAAGAAAACATGATCTGTAAGGCAAAGTTTGGAAAGAATGCTATTCATAAAACTTAAACTGAGAAAGAGAAATTTGATAAAAGAAAAACATATAAAATAAAATTAAAAAAATTAATTGTTTGAGCTTTGTTTTAAAATAACATCTAAGAAAACAAGAAAGGTGCTCGCAAAACCCTTTTTTATTTTGAATTTTTCAAAGTTTAATTTTTGGATTGCATTCTATTTTTATTTCCATTTAATGTACGGGCTCTTTTGTTTCAACAATCATAAAAACAAAATCAATTAATATTTATGGGGAGGCAGAGAGAGCAAGGCTATCTTAATCAATCACAATTTGAATTTCTAAAGGTTAGGTGCATGTTAGACACAAATGAGATAAGATTTGAGTTTATTATTTACAATTTATTAAAGGTTTAATAAAATATAGATTCAAAACAAAACCCTGCATCTGAATATGTTTATAAATGGGTAGTTAAATATCTTAAAAACAGATAAGAAAAAAGGAAGTTCTATACGAGTACCATTTTCCTTTAAAAATAAAGGACAAGGAAATATGTTTTATATTAAAATTTGTGTCAAAACAATACTAGCTTTTTTTTTTTTCTCTATGCTGCTATTGGCATAGGCTGCTGAAGGACATAGCGACCCATTTTCATCATTCTGGTTCATTTTATATCTTTTATTCTCCAGTATATGTTATTTAAACCCAAACTTTATGTTATCTCTGCATTTTCTCATCATAGTAGCTTCATTTGGCCTGATCCTACTTGGCTGTGACTCCATCTGTTGGAGTTGGGCCTTTTTTTCAGTCCCATTTGTCTCCCAGACCATGGAAATTATGGACTCATTTTTTACTGTGACTAACTTTGTGTGCTCTAATTCATCCTTTTGGACATTACAACTGGTTTATATTTCACTGCTTAACTGTTTTTTTTTCTAGACAGAGCTACATTTGGATCCACTTTATTTAGATACCTTTCCCAACATAGAAAGTATGTATAGATCAGCGCCTCTAAGTCCCTTTTCCTCGATTCCCCAGAAGGACATTTCTACAGAGCCTATTTAGCACCTAATAAATATGTAAGTTTGAAGGTCATACAAATTCACATCTCTGGCTGATTCTCGTTTACTATTTAGAACTTATTGAAAGTTAAACAAAATATAAATTGAAAACAAAACCTTGCACATATTAGCATGTGGATCTGTTTACACTGCAAAAACAATCTAGAAATAAGTAAAGCTTTCCTAAATTAAGTGTATTTACCCTTAATTTGAGAAGGTAAATGAGATAGTTTGCCAATGGAATGAGTAGTTTTACTCTTAAAATAAGATAATTAGATAATATGCACTTGAAATAAGACAATGCAATTGTGTTTTCTTATTTTAAGTGTAAATTGTCTTGTTCCATTGGCAGAATGTCTCTTTAACCTTCTCAATTCAAGAACAAATGCACTTATTTTAAGAAAAAATAACTTATCTAGATTTAGATTTTTTC